CCTACATGATATCACTCCCCAATAGACAGTATATAGATTATATTTCTGACATTTTTAAAATCCGCATCTTTCTTCACTTCGAAATTACTACATACTAGATCACAACTTGTGATCATTATGTAACAGTTAAGTATTCCTACTACAATCTCTCTGTCACTCCCCAATAGACAGTATATAGATTATATTTCTGACATTTTTAAAATCCGCATCTTTCTTCACTTCGAAATTACTACATACTAGATCACAACTTGTGATCATTATGTAACAGTTAAGTATTCCTACTACAATCTCTCTGTACTTAATTAATAGTAATAAATACGCAGCCTATTCGCTAATTGATAATAACGATTAGACGACTTTTCTAGCTTTATTTGTGTTACATTTTTACACAGGCATACATATTTATATATCCTTCTATTAAATCTTTTTACTTATTTAAATTTAATAAATTATATTATACAAAATATACGTCTAGTTTGTTAGTATTTTGTAATTAATCCGATCAGAAACAATAACAGAACCATTTGAAATGCCTTCATAAGAAAGCTTTTTATTTTATCAAAAAAGTTTAATAACTTCAAAAGCATTGACATACAACAAAATATCAAGATTATTGTTTGTTTGTATGTATGTATGTATGTGCGTGCGTATGTATAACCTACACGCGTATAATTGTATCTATGTTTGTATGTATGTATGAATGAGTGTGTGTGTGTTTGTATGTAGATCTACACTCGTATGTTTGTAGGAATGTATGTGTTTTGCAGACTGACAGTTATTAACGAATAGTTGTCAATCACTTTAGTGTTACTTAATGGTAGAAGTATTATTATTACTACAGCAAATACTACGTCAAACACATGTGTACCTTGTATGTAGAGTAATTGTTCAACGAATGAAATGATAGGTTAGGTGACAAAAATGATTGAAACCATCAATACGACAATCAAATCTCTATCTAGGAATTATATTTTCAATTGAAATGTTTTTATTAATAAAGCAATTTGCGAAAATTGAACACTACAAATTGTCTTCTAACAGAAAAAGCAGGAAGTTTGTATATTATATTTAACCAGACACCATTGACATCAAACAACGGAGATAGCAGCATTTTCTTGGTAGGAAATTCTTAAATTTAATCCTTCTTCTCCTGCATCTTCTTATTGAAATTGATGACGTCAATGGCCTTGCTGATGTCACCACTGAGGCTGGTCAGCAGCTCGTAGAGGTCACCACCTTTGCCATCGTCCTCAAATCCCATCAGCTGCATGTGATCAACCGCATTCAAGATTACTGGGTCATCCTGACCTATTTTCAGTTTCTGCATACTCACAGTTGATTCGCTGACCATATCGTCATCTTTTACGAACGTCCAATCAGATTCCGGGGATTTATCTTCAAGACTCCCAGGTGATGTTTCAGGGTTCTTCTGAGCTGCTGCAGCTCCTTCGGCTGTCTCCTTTGGTTTGCAATCAGTTGTTGTAGTTGAGGAAGAGGAGGAGGAGGAGGATGAAGTTTTTGTGCTGGTGACTGTGGTCATCTTGGTGGTAGCTCCGTTGGGTCCAGTTGTGAATGTAGTAGTGGTGGTAGTACCATTGGATGCATTTGTATTGGTGGGGGTAGCTCCAGAAGTAGATTGGGATTGAGACTGTGAATGGGATTGAGAGAAGGTGCCACTACTAGTTTGCACTCCAACTCCTCCAGTTCCTGGTCCTTGGAAGACCCATGCACATCCGCCAGGGAAAGTAAAATCTTTGAAGTACTCTCCTGCATTCTTCAAGTTGGCCTTTTTGTGGCAGTGATGTTTCTTGCCGTTGTGCTCGACATCAACTTCCACGGAAATTCCAAGGGGGTCCAACATGGCTGCCACCGACTGTCCAACTGATCTCAAGTACTCAGCCTGAGCAGTTCTAGGATCTTCATCTTCGCTGCTGCTACCAGTTGAGCCAGCACCAGCATTGTTGTCCTTGGCGGTCGCATGTTCTTCTTCCATCTTCTCATCTCGTTTCTTTTCTTCAGAATCATCTCTCGATTCACCATCCCTCTCAGATTTCTTCTCCTCCTTCTTACATTTTTTTGAACCATTTTGCCCATCACATCCAAACCCATGGACCTGCTTCCACCATCTCTTCCATGCTTTCCTGGCATCTTTCTGGGCATCCGCACCGGAAGCAAATGGCACCCCCATGCCAACAAAGGGTGCTGCCATACCGAACACATTAGAGTTTGAAAACAATGGAGGTGGTGGGACGTTGGGTTGTCCGCCAGAGTAAGGTGGTGGAGTGAAGAAAGGTGGAACATGATGATGAGGGGGAGCATGATGATGAGGGGGAAAGTGATGGTGAAACTGGGCATGTCCAGGGTGGTGATAATGACGTCTGCCCTGCTTGAATTAGTAATTTCAACATTGTAATAATATCCAGAATTTAAAAAAAAATTTAAATACCCATAAAAATGATGCTTACATAAAGACATCATCATAAAATGAGTTTATTAGAAAAAAATAAAAAACAAATCTAACATTGACAGGTTTCTCGAACGCCTTCATCTCATGTTCCTCGTGGAGACCAGTTGCCTTGCACGCCTCACAGAGATCATAATTTGGGCAGACCGTGCATTTGTACCTAGTCCCTCTCACTTCCCCCTCGCATCCATCGCACGTTATGTTGGGGTGCAACTCCTTCTTTTGCTGTTTTAGATTGCTCTTTTGAGGTTCACTCTTCTCTGCAGCATCTGTGGGGTCCACTTCGATAAAAATTTTGAATGTTTCTGCAGATGAAGACCCTTCAAGAGCCATCATCAACTCCTGATCACTCGAAAAAGTTATCATGTCACCCTCACTATCTGTGAACGAATTGTTTGAGATTTTAGATTTAGAACAATGATTCAAAACAAATTTAATTTCGAAATAATTTAATAAAATCAGCACTAAATATCTAAACACCAAAAACAATTCAATCAATCACATAATAATCAGTTGACTAAGTATAAAAAAATTATCCATTAAAAATCAAAATGCTGAAACAACAGAGGAACCTTTCCAGAGGAGCTTCAACTTTTTGTTGGCTAACTCGGGGAAGACTATGCAAATTCTTCCAACCAAATGCAAGAAACTGGAAGCCACATTCGCTTCTAGGTTGAATCTCCTAATTTCATACTCCCCAGGCTCTTGGGGCTTCTTCAGAAAAGCTTTCACTGCAATACTAGACATTTTTTCTGTAGCAATAATAAATAAATGAATAAACTCAATTTAGATTTTAAAAATTTCAAATGCGAACAACTCTTTCTGAAAGTGAAATTACACGATATGACAGCGCAAAAATACGACGGCGAACTGATACAATCAACGATGGCTATCCTGAAGATTTATACTAAAATCTTATTGCGTTGTAAACTCCAAAGACAATAGAAAGGCATTCATAATCATATGCTCAGCTGTTCAATAAATGCAAGTCAGCGCTCTAGAACATTCTATGCATAGTCATTCTGAATTAGTAATTAGTGTACACATATATATATATATATATATATATCATACAATGATATATAAATATAATACATATGTATGTTTCGTTACGTCACCGTCCTAATTTGAATATTATAATGAGCTCATTTTACAGCTGATCGGCAGACAGTCTGCCTAACTCACCGTGACTGGGCGTTTTTTGCTGTTTTTTTTTAAATTTTGAGATTGAAATACTACAAACGGATGAAATATCGATTCATAAAATGTTTTTTTAATGTTTAGAATATTTTAAACAGAGATAAGTTTACTTTTGTTTGTTTAATAGCAAAGACGTTACAATGGTTTAGTAGTCAATTTTTGAGCATAGACTTATAAAGTTTTTATTTTTGGAAGGTCTAAATTTCATGACTATATTTCTTCCGTAGTTTCAGACTTCCTCGGCCTTCAATTTATAGCTAGAACATGCCATAGAATATATTCTATATATGTGATGCCAAAAACAAATTGGTACATAAGAGATGTAGTAGTGTGAGGGGGGCACTGAAAAAGGTGGAAGGCACGTTCAAATGTAAGAAATGTGTTCATGGTGTGATTAATAGGACGGACGCAAGGACGGGGTTGAGTGGTGGTATTGAAAGAGTGGAAAGCTTTGTTTACTTAAGGAATAAGCTGAACGCGGATGGAGGATGTTTGAGCGCAGTTACGGCTAGAGTTCGTGTAGGATGGATGAAATTTAGGGAACTGGGTGGGGTATTGTGTGGAAAGAAATGGTCAGTGAAGATGAAAGGGAGGGTATATGAAGCATGTGTGAGAGCAGCGATGGTATATGGTGGTGAAACTTGGGTGTTGAGGAGAGAGGAGGAAAGTGTACTGCAGAGGGCTGAAAGAGGATGATGTGTGGGGTTAAAGTGAAAAATAGGAGGAGTAGTACAGAGCTGATGTCAATGATGGGACTGAATGAGGACATTGATAAGGAGATCGAGATTGCGATGGTATGGACATGTGTTGAGAAGGGATGAAAGGGTCGGGATTAGGCGAGCGTTGGAGTTCGAGGTTGAAGGAGTGGTAGGAAGGGGTCGTCCGCAATTGGGATGGAGAGAGCAGGTGGAGAAGGACAGGGTGAAAGCGGGGTTGCGTGATACTGAGGCGAGTGACAGATGTGGATGGCGTCGAGGGGTATTTCGGTTTCATCATAGGTAGCCAAATGGCAACCCCCGATCTCGGGGAAAATGTCGTCTAAACGTGTGTTGTTGTTGTTGTTAATGCCAACAAGATGCTTCCAAGAATGCAAGTGCTGATTAAGTGGTGATTTATTAATTTTTCCATAATTTAAATATTTGAAAGGAAAATAAAGTTAATATTTGTATGTTAACATCACAAAAGACGTTATATTATTGTTTAACACTTATAGGCATCTGTCCATTTATTCATCATACTTTACTCCTTCATTCATCATTTGTTCATTAATTCATTTATTCATTCATTCATCAACTCAGCCGTCTATCTATCCAAACATTCATTCGTTTGTTCAATC